ACAGAAGGAGAGAGGGGGGGGCAGAAGAAAAAGAGAAAGATAGAGAGAGAGAGAGAGAGAGAAAGAGAGAGGGTAGAAGAGAAAGAGAGGATGAGAGCAAAATTGAGAGAGAAAGAGAGTGAGAGAGAAGAGAGAGAGAGAGAAAGAGTGAGAGAGAAGAAATGTGAGATGGAAATTGAGAGAGACCCACAGAGAGAGAGAGAGAGAGAGAGAGAGAGAGAGAGAGAGAGAGAGAGAGAGAGCCCTTTGTCTTTTATCTAGAATTTGTCACACCAGTGTACCTATAAGTCTCCAGTCCGACTATCATAAGGAAATATTCTATTCCCTGGTTTCACCAAAAGAAGCTGATTTCTTTTTCTATGTCGAGGGAGACTGAAAACTGTGTGTGTGTGTGTGTGTGTGTGTGTGTGTGTGTGTGTGTGTGTTTGTGTGTGTGTGTGTGTGTTTATGTGAGAAGAGAGAGAGAAGAAGAATAAGAGAGAGAGAGAGAGAGAGAGAGAGAGAAAGAGACAGAGAGAGAGAGAGAAAGAGAGAGAGAGATTGAGAGAGAGAGAGAGAAAACAGCTGTGACCCAACTCTCGTCCGGAAATGTTCTGTCCCCATCTTTTTCAAAACTTTTTGTTTCATCCTACCGTGGCTTGCAAAAGACAGAGTTCGATTCCTGTGTGGGTAGGGGTATTTTTTGTTCATCGAGTAGGGGGCCTACGACCGCCTGTCAGCTGGAACGCCGTCACAGGCAAAACAGCACATTATGTAATTCGTGTCCAAGTGTCCATGGTCTGTATTTACACAACAGGTGCACCGTAACCGCCCAGGCCCGGCTAATTATCCAAACTGATTGTAGTGATTTAACAGACAGGGAAGACTGATTGGAAAACATAAAAAAACAAGACAGACAGGAAAGACTGAATTGAAAACATAGAGGATAGGACAGACAGGGAAGACTGATTTTTAAAACATAGAGTACATGACAAACGGGAGGACTGATTTGAAAACAAAGAGAACAAACACATTTTGCTACCGATTTGAACTTTTATTTCCATACTGCCGGTTTCTCATAGTTTACAACACATTGCCAAAGCAGTGCGGCGGCCGCCGGGATGTACATTTCACATGTTCTATGCTCTGCGTAGTACCGTGTTGGCCGCTCGGTTCCAACCAGAAAGTGGGCCGTTGCCCGAACCATCGTTTTCCCGGCCACCCTTCTGGTTTGAACAGAGCGTTACACCCTTGCGCCACGGTGAGGCCCGGTACTTCCGACTTCCGCAAGGGGGGGGAGTGGGGAGGGGAAGTCTGTGAGCTGTGGAAGACAAAACAAATAAGCGATAACAAAAACGTTCCCTACAATTTGGTCCCGTACCCGATACCTGCTGACGCCGTTAAAGAACTTGCTATTTTCCCATAACCGGTGACGTGGGCCAGTTCCAGTTCCCCGCGGACACCTGTCACCCCACATAATTTTATCACCCCCTGCACTTCCCCCAACCCCCCCCCCCCCAACAGCCGAAACTGACATCTTACGTAATGAGGGGTCAGGGGTCAGTTCCCCACTAACCCCTAACCCCTCAGAAAGAGTTCCCCAAACTGGTTGAAAGATGGAAACAGCTCATGCCCCCAAAAAGCTGTTACCTATTACACTTGCATCAAAACGGATTCTTTAAAATACAGTGATTACTCAAAAGTGCAGCTTAGCGAAAAAATGATCTACACCCCCCCTCCCCCTCGCTTCTCTTCAAACTTCATCAACTTTTTTACTTCACACCTTACCCCCAACCCCCTCACACTCACAAAGGTACTGCTGCCTCAGTCTCAAGCTAGGAACAGACCACGCATGAGACACACGGACAAACTGGACTGGCCACAGATACGGAAGCAGGAAGCTGAAGGGACTATTAAATCCTACGGAGACTGGCCCGCTCTTTAACGTCAAAAGCATCAACTGAGGCGTCTTATCAAGCTAAATAAGAACAAAGACACAAACTACACACACATGCATCAACTAGTCTCATTTCCCATATTGGAATACTTTGTCGTTCCCTTAGAAGCCAGGCTCAGGGTCACGTCGAGGAAACTCTTCGGGAAGAGAGAAAAAACAATGCACAGAGGGGAAAAAAAAAAAGGAAATTTAGAAAAATGTCTTCTGAAATAAAACTTATTATTGTAAAAAATGATAATTTTACAGACATGCCAAAGCATTACAAAATTTATTCATTCATTCCTTAAACTAAAAATTATAAAAAGTAGGTTATAAAAATAACAACAACAGCAACAATAATAATCATCATCATAATCATCATATATTTTACAGACATGTCAAACAAAAAAAATAAAAAATTATATAAATAATATATTTTTAAAAGAATTTAAAAACAATTTTTAAAAACTAAGAATTTTACTGAGATGTCAAACTCGCCTCCTAAAAAGATTTTTTTACACATAAATTTTAAAAAAATAAATAAAAAATACTAGTAATGATAATAATAATAATATCAATTTTACACACATATAAACTCAATCAACTAAAACAAACAGACTTCCCCACCCCACTCCCCCACCTACCTGCTCCGTTGTTTCTCCTGTCGGTAAAGAGTTCTATAATTAACTCTCAAACAACCCGCTGTCATCTTCCACCTCGTCGTCCGTATCCACGAACAACACTCTGTAAATTTGGTCCAAGTCTACCTCGTCCTCAGCCCGCTCCCCAAAATCACTATCGTCGCTAGAAAAAAATTTCTCATCCTCCTCAAAATCCCCACTATCCTCCTCAAAATCCCCACTATCCTCCTCAAAATCCCCACTATCCTCCTCCCCGTCCCCGGAATCCCCCTCAAAACTCACCATCTCCTCGTCACTAGAAATAGGCTCTGGCTCCTCTATGATTATGGGCAAGATATGCCTGGCTCCGTCTGGTGCCCGCGAAGACTCCGAGTTCTGGGGAAAGAGAAAGGGAAAAACGGACCTGACCCAAATTGTTCCGGTTACGAAGTCAGAGGGCTCGGAAACACTATTTAGAAATACCCACAGAGCGAGAATGACACAATGACACGGTTGTTTTAAAAATGAGCCACCCAGCGAAAGTGTCGGTCCGCACCAAAAATATTTTTGAACATGCTACAGCTAGTCCGACAAAGGGACGGCTTTTTTAAAGATGACTTTTAACTGACGACACCGATTTCTAGCGAGCTACCGCATTTGGTCTTTTATCAATTTGTCCCATTTACATCAGTATACCGTGTCAAAAAACAGCTCGGTCAAAATTCTCACCAGGAAATGTTATATCATCATATTTCTAAAAAGTTGTTTTAATGTTTAGTGTTTGTGTGGGTGTGTGGGTGTGGTTGTGTGTCTGGGTTGGTGTGTCTGGGTTGGTGTGTCTGGGTTGGTGTGTGTGTGTGTGTGTGTGTGTGTGTGTGTGTGTGTGTGTGTGTGTTTGTGTGTGTGAGTTTGTGGATGCGTGACAACTCACCATCTCCTCGTCGCGGGCAAACGGATGGGGCTGTTCCTCTCCAGACATGATAATGCGTCCACGAAGATTCTGAGATCTGGGGAAAGAGATGGGGAAAAACGGACGTGACCAAAATTGTTACGGTTACGAGGTCAGAGGGCTTGGAAACGTTATTTAAAATTAATACCTACAGAACGACAGTGACGCAGTCGGTTTAAAAATTGAGGTTCCGTGCGGGGATGTCCGTCCGCACCAAAAACTATTTTGGCCCGTGCTGTAGCTCGTCCAATGAAAAGACACGCTTTTTTAACGGATGACTTGGGACAGATGGGACCGATTGTTATCGAGGTACCGTTCCCGGTCTTGTATCAGTTTGTCACATTTACATCAATATCTGTAAAAAAATAGTTCCGCCTGACTCATATCGAGCAATATTTTATTCCGGCCTCCCAAGAAAAGTGCCCTTCCACACCAATCTGTAACGTTGGAAAAAGTATTGCTCGAAAAGACAAAACGGGATTGTCACGCGTTTAGAGGGCACTCTTCGGGAGAATTAGTGGTCCCGGCCTAATACCATAGAAATAACACTTGCAATCGGAAACACAAACGGAAGCCGATTAAAAAAGCTGGTTTGAGTTGCCAGGATGAAAATGCCACCCGATGAAGAAAAAAAAATAAGGTAGAAAATATTCGAAAATCGAACCCCCCCAAAAAAGTACTGAAGACAGCTTTTTTCTCGACCTCCATTTTTGTTTTCCGACTTCAAACTCTGAGTGTTATGTCTTAGGAGTTAAGCCGGGACCACTCCTCGTGAAGAATGCCGTTTAGAGAACCGAGGCTAAAAGTAAATGGGATCGAAAATTATTGGCCAAAAAATCTAGGCCTATGCTTTTGTGTCGGACGAGCTGCAGAAAATTTCCCAAACTGAAATGACGGTTCGAGGCCTCCACTTTTTAATTCAAGAATCACTCGCGTTTCTTACTCATGGAATACTGACTTCAAAGTGAACCATTAAAGAGATAAATTTATAAATTGCAATTTTATTGATCCCAGAGGGGCAGTTTGGTTAACGGTGTCAAACACCGACATTTGCTTAACATTACTGTTGAGTCTAAACTCACTAGATCTAGATCTGGGCCTACTCACTTAGCCACCCGAGCCCCCAACTTTTAATTAGTTAAAACCGTTCGGCTCACCGTGTGACATTTCCAATCAACCACTAAACAACCCTAGATCTAGCTGTACAAAGCCAAGTCCTAGCATTAAGCATTGCCATTAGTTAGTAATAATATAATAAGAGGAAATTCACTTGGTTGACTAAGCGTTTGGCTCACCGAGTGATATTTCCAATCTTTTCTAAACAACCCTAGATCTAGAAAATCTAGATCTAGATCTAGATCTTAATCTAGCTCTACAAAGTGCCCAGCTCAGAAGGATCTAGCATTGCCATTAGATCTTGATCTAGTCATTAATTAGTGAATGCCAATACTTGGTACAAGATTCTAGCAATAGGAAGCTTATTAGTTTTATTATTAGCATTAGAATCTAGATCTAGATTCTAGATCTTCTAGTATTAGTATAATTAGTAAATTAGGGTTAGGCTCACCGTGTGCTATTCCCATCGAACACTAAACAACCCTAGATTTAGCTCTACAAAGGCCAGTCCTACCCCTGAACACTGCATTCAGTGCCAGTGGTCATTAGTTAGTTATAATAAGTTAGGTCGGAGAATAGGGACTAAGAGCTAAGAAGGAGAGGCAAGCCTAGGCCTAGATCTAGAGTCTGTGTTTGGTTCTACACGATACAACATCTAGATCTACACAAGCCTACACTGCGCAGCTTTTAGCTACAAAGAAAACTACCACAGTATTCTGATCATTACCTTAGGTTCTGAATCCAGATCAACAAGGCACAGACACGTTCGCAACTGTATCTGGTTTCGCTATCGAATGAGAGACACGGCACGGCGGAAGTCAAGGAAAACTTCCGCTTCCGATTTTATTAATTTTCCTATTTCTGAGCACAAACGAGGGGTGGTGTGCAATCAACCTAAGAAAGGCGATGGAAGCCGTGACTGAACGCAAGTGACCAAGCGAGATAAATTATACAGAGAGAGAGAGAGAGAGAGAGAGAGAGAGAGAGAGAGAGAGAGAGAGAGAGAAAGAGAGAGAGAAAGAGAGAGAGACAGACAGACAGACAGACAGACAGACAGACAGACAGACAGACAGACAGACAGACAGACAGACAGACAGACAGACAGAGGGGTGGGGGAGTGGGAACAAGAGAGAGAGAGCGAGAGAGGGACAAACAGAGAGAGAGAGAGAAAGAGAGAGAGAGAGATAGAGAGAGAGAGAGAGAGAGAGAGAGAGAGAGGGAAGAAGACAAAGAGATGGAGAGAGCGAGCGAGAGAGAGAGAGATAGAGAGAGAGAGAGCGAGAGATAGAGAGAGAGAAAGAGAAGAGAAAAAGAGTGAGAGAGAAAAAAGGAGAGAGGGAAAAAGAAAAAAGAGAGAGGTAGATGGATAGGGAGAGAGAGAGCAAGAGAGAGAGAGAGAGAGAGAGAGAGAGAAAGAGTGAGAGAGAAGAAATGAGAGAGGGAAAAAGAGAGAGATAGATGGCTAGGGAAAGAGAGAGAGAGAGAGAGTGTAAGAGAGAGATAGAGAGAGGGAGAAAGGCAGAGAGAGAGTGAGAGAGGCAAAGAGAGAGAGTGAGAGAAAGAGTGACAGAGAGAGAGTGAGAGAGAGACTGAGAGAGAGTGAGAGAAAGAGGGAAAGAGAGAGAGCAAGAAAGAGAGAGAGAGAGAGAGAGAGAGACAGAGAGAGAGAGAGAGAGAGAGAGAATACGAGAGGGGGGGGTGTTTAGGGTGTATGGGGAGATAACAACTTAATGTGCCTCTCACTTTCAAACGATTGTCTTTCTCTTTCACGAAGGGTTTGGCGACTAAAATAAAATACGCACACAGTGCGTCTTTATCTATGAGCGCAGACCTCCGGGACACACCGACCTCGTCTTTTTTTCTGTGTTCTTGTTCGTGCACCAACATGTTTGTCTGTACTTCGGTCTGTAGTGTAGTAATGGTTAAGGCTGGCTTTTCTTCTTCTTCCTCTTCTTCTTCTTCTTCTTCTTCTTCTTCTTCTCCTTTTTCTTCTTCTTCTTTTTCTTCTCCTTCTTCTCCTTTTTCTTCTTCTCCTTTTTCTTCTTCTTTTTCTTCTTCTTCTTCTTCTTCTCCTTTTTCTTCTTCTTCTTCTTCTTCTTCTTCTTCTTCTTCTTCTTCTTCTTCTTCTTACTGCTTCCCCACCACCACTTTCTCTCATCTCTCATTTGTAAACAGCTTGTCCACGTGGCTACTAGTATCGATTACTCAATGTACATTACTACTCAAATTTTTTAGCTCTCCGTTAAAAATCTTTAGGCTTAGAACTCAAATTCCCATATTTAGGTTAACAAACATAAGTTTTAAGGAACAGAGCGCCGTACAGTGGTTTAAAATGTTTGCAGTGTGAGATATGACGTGCGATTCTTAAATAATCGGGTATCGATATTTGACAATTAAACGGTATTTTCAACAAATTTCTTTCTTTCCGAATCATGCCAATTATCAGTGTGTTATAGAGGAAGGTTTTCTGGTTCTAATGACCTAGAGAGAGAGTGAGAGAGAGAGAGAGAGAGAGAGAGAGAGAGAGAGAGAGAGAGAGAGAGAGAAGGAAAAGAGAGGAGGGTTTTCTGGTTCTAATGACCTAGAGAGAGAGAACAGAAGAGAGAGAGGGGAAAGAAAGGGGAAGAGAGAGAGAGAAAGAGAGAGAGAGAGAGAGAGAGAGAGAGAGAGAGAGAGAGAGAGAGAGAGAGAGAGAAAGAGAAAGAGGGTGGGTTGGAGGGGAGGGGAGGGGGGGGGGGATTAGAGGTTATGGGGTGACAACATCTTTGCCCCTTATTTTCAAAATATTTTTTTTCTCTTTCACGAAAAGTTTGGCGATGATTTGTATTTTCCGCTAGACTGGAAAAATATACGCCCAAAGTGAGCTTTTCTATGAGCGCAGACCTACGGGACACACCGGGAAGTGCTCCTGACTCTCTCTCTCTCTCCCCTCTCTCGTCCTGTCTTTTTTTGCTGAGTGTGTGCGTGCATGCGTGCGTTCGTGCGCGCATGCATGCATGCGCGTGTGTTTGTGTGCGTATAATATATGTATATATGGCTGTCGCATTGGTCTTTTATCGATAATTTGTCTCACTTATATTATATGAATGTACGAATAAGAAAACAACTCAAGCCCGACTTTCGACTGGAAATGTTTTAATGAAATATACCTATTTCGGGTCCGACTGCCAAGCGCGCGCGAGTGTGTGTGTGTGTGTGTGTGTGTGTGTGTGTTGGTGCGTGCGTGTGTGCGGGTTTGAGGATTCGTGAGAACTCACCATCTCCTCGTCGCTGGCAAATGGCTGGCGTTGCTCCTCTCCAGACATGATACTGCGTCCGCGAAGATTCCGAGATCGGGGGAAAGAGAAGGGGAAAAATGGACCTGACCAAAACTGTTATGGTTACCAGGTCAGAGGGCTTGGAAACGTTATTTAAAATTAATACCTACAGAACGACACTGACGCGGTCGGTTTAAACATGAGGGACGGAGCGGGGATGCCCGTCGACACCAAAACTATTTTTGCCCGTGCTGCAGCCTGTCCGATGAAAAGACACGATTTTCTTATGGATGACTTGAGACAGACGGCACCGATTGTTAATGTTATCGAGCTACCGTTCCCGGTCTTGTATCAGTTTGTCCCATTTACATATCAATATCCGTAAGAAAATAGTTCCGCCCGACTCATATCGAGCAATATTCTGGCCTCTCTAAGAAAAATGCCCTTCCACACCAATATATAACGTTGAAAAAAGTTTTGCTCGAAAAGACAAAACGGGGTTGTCACTCGTTTAGAGGGCACTCTTCGGGAGAAGTAGTCCCGGCCTAATTCCGTAGAAATAACACTTGCAATCGGAAACAAAAAAGGAAGCCGATTAAAAAAATAATGTGGGAAATATTCTAAACTTGAAGTAAGGAAAAAAAATTACCGAAGACAGCTTTTTTTTACTCGACTTGTGTTTTTGTTTCTGACTACAAGTCTTAGTGTTATTTCTATGGTGTTAAGCCGGGACCACTTCCCTCGAAGAGTGCCGTTTAGAGAATCTAGGTTAAAAGTAAACGGGATCGAAAGTTATTCGACAAAAAATCTAGGCTTATGCTTTTGTGTCGGACGAGCTGCGAAAAATTTCCCAAACTGAAATGACGGTTCGAGGTCTCCACTTTTTAATTCAAGAATCGTTCGCGTTTCTTACTCATGGAATACTGACTTCAAAGTAGTAAAGAGATAAATTTACAAATTACAGGTTTTTTTAAAATCCCACAAGGGTATTACTGTTGAGTCTAAACTCACTAGATTCTAGATCTAGATCTAGGCCTACTCACTTAGTCACCCGAGCCCCCAACTTTTAATTAGTTAAAACCGTTCGGCACACCGTGTGACATTTCCAATCAAACACTAAACAACCCTAGATCTAGCATTAAGCATTGCCATTATAGTCATTTGTTAGTGAATGGCTTTTGTGTCGGACGAGCTGCAAAGAATTTCCCAAACTGAAATGACGGTTCGAGGTCTCCACTTTTTAATTCAAGAATCGCTCGCGTTTCTTACTCATGGAATACTGACTTCAAAGTAGTAAAGACATAAATTTACAAATTAGTTTTATTGATCCCACAAGGGTATTACTGTTGAGTCTAAACTCACTAGATTCTAGATCTAGATCTAGGCCTACTCACTTAGTCACCCGAGCCCCCAACTTTTAATTAGTTAAAACCGTTCGGCTCACCGTGTGACATTTCCAATCAAACACTAAACAACCCTAGATCTAGCATTAAGCATTGCCATTATAGTCATTTGTTAGAGAATGCCATTCTAAGTCGGTAATGATAATAATAGTAATAGGAAGCTTACTTGGTTGACTAAGCGTTCGGCTCACCGTGTGATATACAATCAAACTCTTTTCTAAACAACCCTAGATTTAGCTCTACAAAGTGCCCAGCTGAGATAGATCTAACATTGCCATTAGATCTAGAATCTAGATCTAGTCATTAATTAGTGAATGCCAATACTCGGTAATAGAGGAAGCTTAAATTTGTTTTACTAAATTAGTATTAGTAATTAGGGTTAGGCTCATTGTGTGCTATTCCCATCAAACCTCAAACAAACTTAGATTTAGCTCTACAAAGGCCAGTACATTGCATGCAGTTCCAGTGGACATTAGTTAGTTATAATAAGTTAGGGACTACTAAGAAGGAGAGGCAAGCCTAGGCCTAGGTCTAGATTCTAGGTCTAGATCTGGTCTCTCTCTCTCTCGGAGACTCTCTGAGTCTTGTTTGGTTCTACACGATACAACGTAACAACATCTAGAGTCTAGATCTAGATCTATACTAGCCTACACTGCCCAGCTTTCAGCTACAATAAACCACCACAGCCATCTGATCATTACCTTAGGTTCTGAATTCAGATCAACAAGGCACAGACAACACGTTCGCACTGTATGCAGTTTCGCTTTCGAATGAGAGACAACGCGGCTTCCGCTTGGCAAATGTTTATGTTTTTCCTAATTTCTGAGCACAAACGAGGGGTGGTGTGCAATCAACCTAAGAAAACCGATGGAAGTCGTGACTGACCGCAAAAGACCAAGCGAGCTAAATTATAAGAGAGAGAGAGAGAGAGAGAGAGAGAGAGAGAGAGAGAGAGAGAGAGAGAGAGAGAGAGAGAGAGAGAGAGAGAGAGTAGAGAGAGAGACTGCTCGATTGAAATTATGACACTGTTCTTTTCTTCAAATTGTGATTCCTCCAAGTCCAAAAACGGAGGAAAAACGATCGTTCATCGAAAAGACATCCGCAATTTTCATTTAGGTCTAGAGATCTAGATCTAGGCTAACCTCGAAACTAGATCAATGATTTATCTGTGTCTATCTAGACCTAGGCCATAGATCTAGATCTAGAAGGACCTAGGTCTAGGTCTAACCTGAGCCAAGAGGGCGCTGAAACTTTCCGAATTCACAAAAGAGTTCCCCTACCGGGTCTGTATACTTCGTGACTTTGTTCCCGGTTACCGGGTCTGTATACACTCCCTATTTAAAATTAATACCTACAGAACGACAGTGACGCAGTCGGTTTAAAAATTGAGGTTCCGTGCGGGGATGTCCGTCCGCACCAAAACTATTTTTGCCCGTGCTGTAGCTCGTCCAATGAAAAGACACGCTTTTTTTAACGGATGACTTGGGACAGATGGCACCGATTGTTATCGAGCTACCGTTCCCGGTCTTGTTCCATTTACATCAATATCCGTAAGAAAATAGTTCCTCCTGACTCATATCGAGCAATATTTTATTTGGCCTCTCAAGAAAAGTGCCCTTCCACACCAATCTGTAACGTTGAAATGAGTATTGCTCGAAAAGACAAAACGGGGTTGTCACGCGTTTAGAGGGCACTCTTTGGGAGAATTAGGGGTCCCGGCCTTATTCCATAGAAATAACACTCGCAATCGGAAACACAAACGGAAGCCGATTAAAAAAGCTGGCTTGAGTTGCCAGGGTCACAATGCCACCCGATGAAGAAAAAAATCAGGATGAAAATATTCTAAAATAGAACGACAAAAAAATACCGAAGACAGCTTTTTTACCCTACTTCCCTTTTTGTTTCCGACTACAAACTCTTAGTGCTATTTCTTTGGAGTTAAGCCGGGACCACTCCTATCGAAGAATGCCGTTTAGAGAATTGAGGCTAAAAGTAAACGGGATCGAAAGTTATTCGCCAAAAAATCTAGGCCTATGCTTTTGCGTCGGACGAGCGCAGAAAATTTCCCAAACTGAAATGACGGTTCGAGGTCTCCACTTTTTAATTCAAGAATCACTCGCGTTTCTTACTCATGGAATACTGACTTCAAAGTGAACCATTAAAGAGATACATTTATAAATTACAATTTTATTGATCCCAGAGGGGCAGTTTGGTTAACGGTGTCAAACACCGACATTTGCTTAACATTACTGTTGAGTCTAAACTCACTAGATCTGGACCCACTCACTTACTTAGCCATCCGAGCCCCCATCTTTTAATTAGTTAAAACCGTTCAGCTCACCGTGCGACATTTCCAATCAACCACTAAACAACCCTAGATCTAGCTGTACAAAGCCAAGTCCTAGCATTAAGCATTGCCATTACTGGCCTTTGTAGAGCTAAATCTAAGTTTGTTTGAAGTTTGATAACTCATTTGTTAGTGAATGCCATTAGTCGGTAATAATATAATAATAGGATTCTCACTCGGTTGACTAAGCCTTTGGCTCACCGAGTGATATTTCCAATCAAACACTTTTCTAAACAGCCCTAGATCTAGCTCTACAAAGTGCCCAGCTCAGATAGATCTAGCATTGCTATTAGATCTTGATCTAGAATCTAGATCTAGATCTAGATCTAGTCATTACTTAGTGAAGCTTTTGTTTTATTAAATAGAAAGTGGCTATTCTCACCCGCCCGGAAGTTCTCGCAAGATCAACTCCTCCCCTCTTCTCTCTCTCTCCGTCTCTTTCTGAATACTGTCTATCGGTGTGGACGATCAAATTGACCAAAACAAAGTTAAAAAATGATGTTAAAACACAAAAGTAAATAAATTTGGTTGTCTACAAAGATGCTACGGCTATTTAACTTTTCGAATCGAGCCGAACTACGCGGGTCGCCATTTTGTTTTGCCCGGAAATTCTCGCGCTACTCCTCTCTCTCTTTCTCTCTCTCTCCACTGCCCACAGACAAAATTGTACGCTTTTAGTAGGCTACAATTGTAATGGAACGTTTGTTCACGGCACAGAATTCTACAATTTTTCTGTTATCACAGTGTAGAAATATGTGGTTTTGCCGGGTGAGAATAGCCACAAGACTCGCCTGCACTATTCTCACTCCGGGTGAGAATAGAGGTGGCCTATTAAATATGGAAGAGGCTAGCCGTACTTAATGACGGCTAGACTGGCAGAAGTACGGCTAGACTCGCAGTCTAGCCGTACTTATTCTTAATATGATGGCTAGACTGACCATTTAACAAAAAAATAGGCCTACTGAATTGTAAATATACATTTTTAGTGTGCAGTACCTACCTAAAGTATTTGCATTTGAGACGAAACCAGGTGCCTTAATGACAGTGTATGTATTTGTATTTTAAACCTCCTGTTTTCTAATGTTAATAGGGCCTAAGATAAGTACGGCTAGACTGGCAGTCTAGTCGTACTTAGCCAGGCTAGCCGTACTTAAGGACGGCTAGACTGTCAGGCTAGC